AAAGCCTGTATGGAATTTGCTTTGGGACAGCCTTTTCCCCCTAACAATGGCAAACCTAGGATCTGAACCCTGGTCTTCTTGGTTTTGGAACTCAGGTCATAACCTTTAAGTTCTACTACTTCAATAGCTGCTATTATATGTATTAATAATAATAATAGCTGTGTCCGAATCTCAAATCTGCATGTGCTGGTACTGTTACAGGGCAGCCTAACAGTACCATCTGGTTTACAAAGCACTTTTTCTCTGTGGGCAGTATCTCATCTTTCCTCCCAACCTCCATGTGTGATGGAGTTGTTCTCACCATCCCATGTTCCCCACGAGGCCACCGAAGCTTAGAGGGGTTCTGTCATGTTCTGGGCTAGTATTGGGGTTTGCACCTAGGAGGTTGGTTCTAAATCCAGGTGTGCTGGACTGGGGCCCTCTCCAGCGGGCTGTACACCCTCACTTGGCCTCTCGTGCTGGCCAGCAGGCTGAGTAGCTCAGGAAGGTGGGAGAGAGGACAGTCCTCAGTCTGTTGCTGACTCACCGCACGGACCCCCAGGGAGCACAGCACAGAGAGAGTCCTGACTGGGTTCTTTGGGGAGCCAGCAAGGCACAAGGAGGGGTTACTGACAAGGGGTTTGGGCCACCAGGGAATCCATGAGCGGACGGAGATGTGGGTGGGGAGGAGTAGAAAGCCTAGGCAGGGGCTGGCCCCTGCCTTAGGGTTTTGGCTGGGCCATGGCATGCCAGGCTGGCCCTGTGTGACTACCTGGCCCCTTCCATCCAGTGAAGGCAGGTCACACACAACACCTAGTCCCCATCTTCACGTGTATGCTTGGTAATGGCCCTGTCTGGTTGGCAGATATCATGCACCCTTTGCAGTCTTGGCTCCATGAGTCACAGTGTCACCATCCCTTTGTCAGGGCTGTGTTAACACCAGTGCCTGGCATGTAAGAAGTGCTCCAGAAATATTCACTGTTATTAGGGAAATGGGGAGAGAAAAGGAAGGAAGGAAAGGAGGGGAAGGAAAGGTGGAGGGAAGAAAAATATCTGCCTGGCGGAACAAGGTAGGCAAAGAAGGCTGCACAATGGTGCTGACATTTGAGCAGGGTTTTGTAGGATGAATAGGAGTTTGCTGCAGGATAAAGAGGCAGGGAATTGTGTCTCTGGATTGGTATTGCAAGTACAGGGCACCCCTGGGCTACACACTCAGCATTTGCAAAAAAAAAAAAAGCAGGAGGTGTGAATTCCTTGTACTTTATGAGAGTCATGCAAGGGTTGGATGAGGAAGTATTTGGAAAAAGCCCCTGGCATGAGATGGACTCTCTGAAGTAGCCAGGGGGTAGAGGCAGCAGCCAGCTTGTGTGTGCATGGGAAGGGGCTGTCTGTAGCCAGCGTGCCTATGGGTAGAGCTACAAGCTGGCAGACCCAGGCCCCAGTTGGATCCAGGCCACTCCCCAGGGTAGATCCATGAGTGTGACTGAGACAAGCCTCCGGCTGCGACGCTCCCTGTGGGAGCTCAAACAGGAACTGGACTTGACACTGCCAAGCGCCCCTGTGCCTGAGCCCCCTGAACTGGTGTGTGGGGTAGTGATGGGGCAACTTCTCGGCTGACCCATAGGAGGGAAAGAAAGCACATGGTTTCTTGCATGTGGGATCTGAACACTTCCCCCAAAGCAGCCCACCTATGCCAGGGCCTGCTCCTGTCACCCCGTGTGGCCTGAGCTGGCTGCCAGGGAGGTTTGTTGTGTGTGTGGGGTCATCGGTAACCCTGTCTCACTTTTTACCATCCCAGGAGCTCCCTGGAGACCGGAAGCAGCCTCTCCACTGACCGATACAGGTACTGTCCTTCCTCCACTCCTGGCTCCCCAGGGCCCGCTGGGCCTACTCTTCCCATCAGTACCAAGAGGACATCAAGGGAAATTAGCCCCACTATCCGGCCCTAAAGATCCCCCAGGGACCAGAGGGACTTCTGAACGTCCTTGAGAATAAGTCCAGCTGGGAGTGGTCCCCACAAAAGCCAGAGCTCAGCTGAAAACCAGGCCTCAGCTAATGGTCTCCCAAAGAACCAGGGTGCAGACAAAGTTTCTATGGGATTCAAAATTGGTCAGTCTGAGGGCTGGCTCACAGCCAGCAGTTCCCACAAGGACGGAAGCTGTCATCTGAGTGAGGAACCAATGGTTTCTGTTGCTTTCAGACCGCGCTTGGTGGGGGTGGGGGGTGTCTGAAGTTCTCTGCATCCGAGTGTCGTGTGTCTTGGTGTTTCCATAAACTGTCTTCAGGGAATGCATTCTGTGTCTTCACAAGAAAGGGCTGCAGGCTGCAGCATGGAGGAGAGGGCCAGGACGGAAATCAGCCACCTCTGCTCACAGTCCAGTGAAAGACGAGTGCGGGCAGCTGGTCCTGGGGTGGGTTTGGCACCGGGGACCGTGTGCGGTGTGGCCATATGTCTTGGGGAGGAGGGGGCGTCCGCAGTGCATTGCACAGGTGACCGGTTGGCTGGTCCCCTCTTTGGGGTTGGGAGAGGAGCCCTCCCAGCAAAGGTCACATTGTGAGGACCTGGGAAGGGTAGATACAGCCGGAGCATTGACAACAGGGATGGGTGAGCTGGAAGGTCAGACCAGGGCTGAGTTCTGCCGAGAGCGCCAGCTGGAGGCTTGCAGGGCGGTGAGGCCTGGCCCAGAGACTCCTGAGGGCCCAGGGCCCAGGAATAGGTGTGAGGGGGTGAGGGGCAATGGCCGCTAGGCTGAGGTGAGATTGTCCTAGCAGTCTGGGATCAGCCAATTCAAAGGTCCCGAGGCGGAGCATGCTGGACATATTGGAGGAGCAGAGAGGCCGGTGCTGAGCGGGATCTGGCCCCACTCCTGACTCTTGACCTCCTCTTCAGAGCCCCGTTCCATGTTCCCAATTCACAAATAAGGAAAACTGAGGTCCTGAGACTAGACAGTCAGTGCCAGCCCAGGACTAGCTCCAGAGCTCCCACGACCCCCCCACGGCCAGGGGGGCACCTGGCCTCTGTACCCTTTCTCCACTGCCGTGGCACCGGCTTTGCTGCTTTGTGGGAGCCCCTGAGAAACCCAGCTCCAGTGGAGGAGGTGCCTTTCGACAGGACTGGTCCCACGGAGGTTCTAGAGGCCCCGCGCACAGCCTGGGAATCCAGAAACAAAGGTCCCAGCCAGTAATTGCCTCCTTTCAAAGGCACAGCCGGCTTCCTCTGCCATGGGGCAGCGTGAGAGGGAAGCTAATGACCTTGTCTAGGGGGAGGGGCGGCCAGCACTCCAGGGCCAGCACTACCTGGCGTGCAGGCTCATCCCCGGCAGATGGCCACTGCCACTCTCCTTCCCACCTGCCTGGGACATCAGCACAGCCACCCAGGGGCTCATCTCACCCAGCCTGGGGGGGGTGGGCGTTGCCCATTATGGAGGCGGGGAGAGGGGCCCTATGTCCAGCCTGGTCCATCCTAATGACATGAGCTCCGCATTCCCCATTTGGACAGTGGGTGGCTTGCACTGAGCCATGCACGCTGGGATATTTCCAAAGGAAAGTGCTCTCCAGAGTAAGCTTTCTCACCCAAGTGACTTTGGAGCCAGGTCATTCGTTAAGGTGGGGGCCTGTCCTGGACCCTATCAGATTTGTGGCTGCCAGTGAATGTCACTAGATACCAGTCACTGCCCTCCCCAGTTGTGACAGCCCCACTTTCTCCAGACATTGCCAGATGTCCCCTGAGTGCTCCCCACCCCCACACCCCCATTGGGACCCAGTGGTTTAGAAGCCACATGCTTGCCAATGACAGATGAGCAGATGCCCTCCTGGGATGGGGGAATCAGACCCCTGGTTCCACACCAGCCCTTGTAAGCCGGGCAGCTTGGCAGAGCCCAGCCCTTGCAACCCCAGCTCTGGCCTGAGGCGGCTGTGCCCTGGGCAGCATCCCTCACACAGGGATAGGTCTTTCCTGTCTCCTCATCTCTGGTTGGGGGTGGGAAGTGGGGATATCAAGGCTTCCTTAAGAGGATACCACTGTTTTGAAAATGATGTTGGGCAGACGAACTCCAACTGTCAGAGCGATGAGTGTGGGGTGCTTAGGAGGCTGCTTTGTGCTTTAAGAACCTTCCATCCATGAGAGATCCCTGCAGGGGCACGGCCAGAAGAGGCAGCTCTGTGCAGCAGCGGGGGACAGAGAGGCAGTAAACAGACCAACCAACAAGGTCGTTTCAGAGGTGGGCGATTCAGACAGGTGGGGAGAGAAAGGGCATTCTGGTGGGGAAAGGCTCTAAGGGGGTATCTGAGGAGTCCTGGGCTTGGGTGTCTGGACCCTCAGAGCAGTCAGCCTGTCAGTAGGTGCCGGGTTGGACGGAGGCCCGCAGTCGCTTAGGAGTTCGGCCTTTATTCTAAGAGCAGTGGGAGGCTGCAAGAGGGTGGGGGCAGAACGGACTCCGAGGTCCCTGCCACCACTGGCATAGGGCATGGGCCTCAGGGCAGGACCAGAGACAGGGACCCCCCAGGAGGAGTGCAGGGGAGAAAGAGTCTCTCAGGGCACCCTGTCCCTGCTCAACAATGCTCCTGCATGGCCACAGCCCCTCAGCCCAGCCGCTCCCCTACCCACCCCCCTCCTCTCTAGAGACAGGAGTCCTCTCCTGGCAGCCAATGAGCGGCTGTCATTTCACTTCCATTTTAGATTTTATCAATGTGTCCCTGTCGCCCTGGCAACCGCACTGGGCGGCCTTGTCAGTCTTTCTGCCTCTGCCTTTCAGAGCTGAGCTGCTCCCACCCACACCATGTGGCTACGTGGTGAGTTTTCACTCTCGCAGGCCAAACTGGGATTCCACCGAACGTAATTGAACTGGCAAATGAGGCCAGTGTTTGTCTGTCATCTCACCCGCCCCCTCCCTGCTGGTGCAACCCCACCCCTAGTCCTCCCAGCCTCAGCCACTCCAGGCCGGGCCGGCAGCTGGACAACTGCCTGGCCAGGTGCCGGCGAGGCCACCCGGCGCCCCAGGACCTGGTTGGAAGAAAGAGTTCGCAGCGGCCTGCAGGAGTCCCAGCATCCTGGCCCCCCACGATGCTGGACCAGGGGCCCCCACTACTCAGCACAATCCGGGCTGCCTCAGTTTGCCCGGGGGACCCCCAAGAAGCGCCAGCAGCCAGAAACAGCAGCAGTCTGAGGCTGCCTGGGCGAGCCGCATGAACGAGTTGCTAGGCTTTTGTGTGCGCTGCTCTTTGTATTGGAGGCGTGTGCTCGGAGCTGGCAGAGCAGGGCTGGGCCATGTGAGTGGGGGCCTCCGTGGCAGGCAGGGACCAAGGCGGGCCGGAGCGACTAGTTCCCCAACTCCCACCAGCCTCCCTCTAAGTCTCCGTGGAGGTGCCGCGGTGGTCTGAACAGAAACTGAGAGGCGAAAATGCTCAAGTTCAAGGCCTTTTGCCTGGATTACTGGCAGTTCCTGTGCCTGCAGCCGCTGCATGGAGTCTATAAAAGGTATGTCGGCCCTCTGGGGGCATCTCTGCTGCTAGGGTACTGGGGCAGTGGGGAAGTTCCCCCAAACCTGCCAACTCGGGGGGACCCTCATCTGGACACAGGCCCCGCCACTCGCCAAGAACAGCTGTGGCATTTGCTGTTGGTCAGTTTTCAACTCTGCTTAATTGTATTCTCCTTTCCCTCCAGCCCTGACATTGGTGGGATTTCTGAAAGAAGTGGTTGCCCCAGTGTCTGTGGCCAAGCGCCGTGTTTCATTGTTCCATGCTGGGATCAGTCCTGGAAGGGACCTGCTCAGATCTGCGCCGCAGGAGGGTGGCGCGTGTGTCCAGAGGTCTGCTCCTGACCCTGTCACACTGCACCCCCTCCACCTGAGTGGGTGCTCATGTGCCTAACAGACTCGCCTGCCTTCCACCCCAGGCAGGGATTGGAGACTTATTTGGGGAGACAGGAGAGTGAGGTCCCTGGTCTGGAGGTCAGGAGGCCAGAGTTCAAGTTCCTTCCCTCGCTGGGTGATTTGGAGCAAGTCGCTTTCCCTCTCTGAGCCACTGTTTTGCCACCTTTAGGGATTTCGACCTGATGATATGTAGTGCTGTTTGGAGACGGCTCCCTAGAAAGGTGCAGGCTACGGACCCTGCAAGCCTGAATATTAATACACTGGACTGTATCTTCCATGTGTGTCTGTCTGCGCACACACCTTGACAGAGAAATGCCCCTGCAGGCCAGCAGAAAGGGCACTGTGGCTGACTCTGTGGTCACCTCAATAGCATGTAATTAAAGACCTGGGAGGAGAGACTTAGAATACCGGCTATTCTGAGGGAATTAGTTTTTCCCGATTTCACACTCTGTGAAGTCGGCGGCTATTAGCAGCGAGGGGTTCTGGGAAAGTGTGGGAGCTTTTCTTTTCTCTGCCAGTAGCTTTTTCTAAAGGAGGCGGCCGCCGAGGGTCTCACGCCAGCCTCAGAAAGGAAGTCCCCGCTCTTGGGTGGGTGCCAGGAGAGAGGATCGTTTTGCATCTGATTAGCACAGCCACGTTGGTTTGGAGCAGGCCTCCTCACCCCACCGTGGGGGACGAGCCTTTCCTTCCCATCCAAGAGTTTGTTATAGCCTTGGGCACCTGGCATTTTCTGGGCACCTGGAATTTTCTGGCTTTCCATTATTGTCTGCCATGTGTGGAGTACTGTGGGTTTGTGGAAGCCTCTGAGCCCCACCTTTGAGCAGGTGAGCAGAAACCCAAAAGCAGGAGTCCAAGTAAGAGTGTCTGCATGATTTGGACCCCAGTTTACTTGTCCCAAGATGAATCTCTCTCAAGCACTCTACAACTCGGGCCACTCGGCACCCAGGGCCCCTGGTCAGGCAGTGATGGAAGAGGGATGTTCCCCCCACCCCAAGGCCTTAGTGAAACTAGGGGGGATGGTGGTCAGAACCTTGATGGAGGAGCATGACTGGGAATGGGGATTTCATGGAGGTGACGGTTCTGTGGGCGGCGAGGTATCTGGAGGAGTTGGCTGGGCCAGGAAGGGGCTTTGGGAGTTCTAGGCTATTGACTAGGCTGGGAAGGGTAGGGATGGGAAAAAACCCAGAGGCTTTCAAAGGGCAGGGGTCTTCAAGTAGTCACAAGAGACCATGGTGCTAGAGGGGGGGCGGGGGGGCTGCTCCAGAATGGGAGCCAGGACCAGGAGCTGGGCTTTGCACTGCCATGGGGAGCCATGAAGGGTTTAAGGGAGGGTTTTAGGGAAGGAGTGGCTAGCCAGGAGTCATCATGTGAGAGGCCTGGCTCAGCTTCCAGGAGAAACCAGTGAAAGCCCCCTTCATCACAGTCCACTGTAAGGGGGCTCATTTTCAGAGAGTGCTCTTTTCTCAAATCCTGACTATGGCCCAAGGATAAGTGGGACTCCCAAAGAACTCCCTGAGTACACAGAGAAGGAGATGCCCTAACAAACCACAGAAGCCAGGGGTGGGAATAAGCAAGCAGTACAAGAATACCAGCAGCATGAGGAAGACCCTCCAGGAGAAATGAAAGAAGACTTCCCGCAGGAGGTGGCCAGGCCTCTATGTAGCAGTGGGATTTTTCCAGACAGGGATGGGCACTCACTGTAGGTGGTGAGCACAGCATGAACAAACACAGGGAAGTAGGACCAACCCTCACTTGATTTCAGAAATGGTCAAAGATGAGGATGAGGTGCCAGATACATGTCAGGGCAACACTAACGCCGAGGGCCTTTGAGCGCTGGCTCCATGTGAGGCACCATCTAAGCCCCGCCTCTGCAGCAACCCCCTGCAGCTGGAGACATGGTCATCCCACTTCCCAGGTGTAGAAGTCAAAGCACATCGCTTGCCCAGAGCCACGTGGCCTGTCAGTGGGACCTCGGGACTTTTCAAGGCTGTCACAAAGCAGGGGCCACACACAGACGGCTGAGGGGCTCTGACTGTACCCCAGCAAATAAGATGCTCAGGCCTCGGGTCAGTCCTTTCCATCCATTAGTGTCCGTATATAGTGGCACATGCACATCAGCCAGGTAGATAAGAACTGGACTTTATGGCCAGACCTCATCCAGGCGGGTACTTACAAGGTCACTTCTCCTCCAAGCAGGAGCTCCCTTGTGCAGTGGCGCAGGGATCTAAGCCCACCTCTCATACTTCTGTGGGTCTGACAGGGTCAATGTCAGGGGAGCGCTTAGTAGGGGCTTGGGAGATGGTGGATTTCCTCCAACAGAAAGGTCTTGCGAACAGAACCTCAGGGCTTATTCTAATGCCATAGTCCGTTGTTTAAACAGCGACCCAAAACTTAGGAGTATGAAAAGGGTGTTTTGTAGACAATGCATAATTAACCACTTCTAAACACAGGGTGTGCCAGACTCCCTTGAAGCTGTTAATTATTCTTCATTAGTGATCTTAAATTAATGTAAAATAATCCTGGAACCCTGCCAGGGGCTGAGGCTGGGGGAGGAGTGGCGCTTGGAAGAAAGAAACAAAACAGGAGAAATGCTTCCAGAGCACCTCTGTACTCTCCTTGGCAGGTGGCCCTTCAGCCACCTTCAGCTTTGACCCAAGGTCGTTGTTGGAGGACACAGCCCTCTCCCCAGCCCCCAGAGCCTGACAGACCAAGGGGACACTGTTAATGAAATAGTTTGGGTGCAAAGAAAATACAGAGTAGTATAACCATCGCCAGGCTTCAGAAAGAAACTGTTACCAAGTGGCAGATGGCCCCATGATCCTCCCTCCAGCCCATGCCACTCCTGTCTCCCCAGAGCTGAACCTAAGCAGTGTCCCCCCCGCCAGTGTCCTGGGGGGTATTCCCATGCACAGTTGTATAACTCTGCTGACACAAAAGGTTGTTTTACATGTTTTTAAATTTTAGAGAAATGATACCTTATTCCACATTTTGCTTTTTTTTTTAAGATTTATTCATTTACACAAGAACCGGGGTACAGACCAGATGTGTGGGAGGGTGAGAGGATTCACCAGAGACAGAGTGGGGAACAGAACAGGCAGACTGACGAAATACACTGCTGAGGGGAGCAGCGGGTGAGACAGGAGAGGACTGCCGTGCCATGTGGGACCCTCGCCGGTCGGCAGGGATTGAACCAGTGCTGCAGAGGCTGCCGACAGCTTCACAGCACTGTGATCAACCGCCTGCCCCACCATGGGAGACCCCACATTTCGCTTTTTAAAAATTGCTTGTAGTGAGTGCACAGAAGATCGACCATCTTTCAGTATCCAGTTTAGTGGTATATTGTGTAAACAACATCAACATCTCCAGAAATTGTCATCTTCCCAAACTGCAGCTGTTCCCATGAAGCACTAACTCTCCACTTCCCTTTCCCCAAGCCCCAGGTGACCTCCATTCTACTTTCTGTCTCTGCAAATTTGACTGTTTTGGGTGCCTCATGTCAGTGGAATCATATGTATTTGTCCTTCGTAACTGCTGTTTCACTTAGCCCGATGTCCTCAAGTCTCATCAATGTCACAGCATGAATCAGGATTTTCTTCCTTTTTAAAGACTGACTAGTATTCCATTGTATGTGTATGTCCCATTTTGTTTGTTCATTCATGCATCAATAGACATGTGGGTGGCTTCCACTTTTGGACTATCATGAAGAATGCTGTTATCAGCATGGGTGTGCAAATATCTCTTCAAGAAGCAGCTTGCTTTTTTTCAGTTACCGTTTTATTGATGTGTCATCCATGTTGCTCTGTACAGTCAAGCATCATCACCTAACAAAGTTTCAGTCAATGACAGTCTGCACGTATGATGGTGGTCCCAGTAAGCTACACTGTATAGTGTAAGGGAGTAGGCTAGACCCTCTCTAGGGTTGGCTAACTATACTCTGTAACATTCACACAATGACAAAACTGTCTAACAACACAATTCTCAGACGGTAGCCCCCTCGTTAAGCGTCATATGACAGTGTAGTCCTCATCCATTCGTTTTCATTGGTATATAGTATTCTTGGGTTGCTTGGTGCACATGCCCTAATTTAAATACCAGCCCTGCTGTTGGTGTGCCTTTAGATGATTTCCCGTCTGTTGCTATTACAGGCAGGGCTACAGTAAGACTTGTGCGCTTGTGTGGAGTGCGGTTGTACCAAGTTGGTATACAAGTATCTTTAACTTTGCTGAGCCTTGTAAAATTGCTTTCTGAAGTGACTATAGTCCTGGGTATCCTCACCAGCAGAGGGTGAGAGTCCTCATGTCTCTAGATTCTTGCCAACACTTGGTGTTAAAAAGCCAGATGATATTTTTAAAGTGAAAAAGGATAGAAAGAGAGAGAGGTTAAGAGAAGACTAAATTGTGTGGGAGCCACCCACACCTCTGCTCGGCCCCAGGCATCCCCAAGTGGAGGAGGATACACGATGTGCCTTTCCCTCCGCATGTGTGTTGTTCCAGGCCCTCTGCAATATGGGATTTCCAAGGGTGACTAACGCTGTGTATTCTCTTGCCCCTCAATCTGACTTCTCACCTCCGAGCATGCTGTTGGCGGCCACTGTCTGCTTTCACAA